CGGTCTGGAGGACATTATTATTATTAATAATATAGCTGGGGCGTGGCTCTACCACGTATAAGAATGCTTTTATGTTCTATGCTCGTACTTTTATAATTATACTTACATCATTTCTTCAATCAGAACACGTGTAGAGGTAGAGCTAATGAATAATTCAATTAATTGCAAACTATGTGGTTGGAATTTTTATTTTTTCTTAAATAAGGAGAAGTGGCAACCACGCGAATAACATTGAAATATATACTTACTTACATATTACTAACTAATAATTTGTTGACATAACTTACTGTTTAGGTCCTCAGTTAGTGCTTTATATGGTTACATACGACCATTGTTTTTAAATTATTGACATTTTCCATGATAATATGATGATCATTTTTACTTAATGGCAATCATTTTTACATTAATTACTTCCTCATAACAATTAAAATAGAATACTGCCAAGCGTTGCAACTATGGAAAGTATCCCCCGTATGAATTAATATATGAGGGAAACTATTTTTACCGACTTCAAAAAAGAGGAGTATTCAATTCAAATGTATGTTCATTTTTAATGTGTATGTAAACCTCATAACTTTTCTCTGATTAATTCGATTTTGATGATTCTTTTTTGTATGAAAACTGGTGCTTCTCGTGTGGTTTCATATAAATTTAGATGAAGAATATTTGATCAGTAGTTTTTGAGTTGTCTTTAATAATGCATATTCAATTGATTTCGAATACATTGATTCGGTCGTATTGAAGTCGGTTGTACAAAATTTTTCATTTTATCGTTTGTGTGTGTTTTTTTTACGACTACCAGTATTTAGAACATACAAAATGTTTCTTGGATCACATTAACTATCAGGCTACATTTGTAAAAAGCAAGTTTAAAATTATGTAATAACTCTCATCATCATTATCATTACAGCCCTTCACAAGTCCACTGCTGAACATAGCCCTCCCCCAAGGTATACCACAAAGCACGGTCCTGAGCCACCTGCATCCATCGACTTCCTCCATGTCTTACCAGGTCGTCAATTCATCTAGTGGGGGGTCGCCCTACACTTCGCCTACCGGTACGAGGCTGCCACTTGAGAACCTTTTTTCCCCAACGGTTGTCGGTTCTTCGAGCTATATGGCCGACCCATTGCCACTTCAGCTTACTAATCCGTTGGGCTATGTCGGTTATTCTGGTTCTATTGCGTATATCCTCATTTCTAAGTTTATCACGCAGAGAAACTCCGAGCATAGCCCTCTCCACAGCTCGCTGAGCGACTTCGAGCGTCCTCATACGGCCAGCAGTGAAGCACCACGCCTCGGTTCCGTAGGTCATCACTGGCAACACGCACTGGTTGTACAACTTAGTTTTCAGGTTTTGAGGTATACCTGACGAGAAGATGTGTCGTAATTTCCCGAACGCTGCCCAGCCGAGTTGAATCCGTCGGTTGACCTCTCGGCCGAAGTTGGACTTACCTAGTCGGACTATTTGTCCCAGGTAAACGTACTCGTCAACAACTTCGAGCTTAGTGCTCCCAACAACTACCGGCATAGGTGGGACATGGACATTAAACATGATCTTTGTTTTGTACATGTTCATCTTGACCTATCCGTTGGGAGGCACTATTGAGGTTATTGAGCATAATGCTTAAGTCCTCCAGCGATTCTGCCATAAGGACTATATCGTCGGCAAATCGAAGGTGAGTGATGCACTTGCCATTGATGTTAATACCGAATCCTTTCCAGTCCAGTAGCTTGAAAACGTCTTCGTATAGCAATCGTAGCCCTACTGTACAAACACTTCAGCACTTCGATATACCGACAGTCAACTTGGCACCGCTGAAGAGACTGTAGCGCCGCCCAAATATCGACGGAATCAAAGGCTTTCTCATAGTCCACATATGCCAAGCAAAGTGGCAGATTGTACTCTTCGGACTTCTGTACAATTTGCCGAAGGGTATGTATGTGGTCTATGGTACTAAAGCCTTTTCGGAAACCGGCTTGATCGGGAGGCTGGAAGTCGTCGAGTCTGCGTGCGAGACGATTCGTAATGACTCTCGAAAACAGCACGTAGACGCGGCTCAGAAGGGATATCGGTCTGTAATTCTTCAAGAAGGCGTTGTCACCTTTATTGAAGAACAAGACCACCGTACTTCTGCTCCACGCCTCCGGAGCCCACCATAGAGAACGGAATTAAAGAGCCTTCTAAAGGACCTCAAGCGATTTTCCACTCGCTTTCAAAAGCTCCGCTGTAATACCATCCTCGCCCGGGGACTTGCCGTTTTTAAATTGCTGGAGAGCCATTCTAATCTCGCTCCGATTACGTCCAGGATATCATCGGAATACTGTCGGATAAGACTTGCTCTTGGATCGTTACTCACCCTAGCGTGTGGTTCCAACGATGATGTGTACAGCTGCCCATAGAACCTCTCAATCTCACTCAGAATCTCAGGTGTCCCGGAAACGATGCTGCCACACTCAGTCTTCAACTTTGACAGTTGGCTCTTACTGGCAGACAGATCTCTGGCAAAGACTTTGGAGCCCTGGTTCCGCTCGATCGCTTCTTCAATACGAGCAGTATTAAAGTTGCGTAAGTCTCGCCGCATGCATTTGGAGATCTGTCTGTTCAGTTGCTTATATGCTATCAAATCTGTTGACGATTGCAGCCTCATCTCCCGTCTAACAGCCATGAGATTAAGAGTGTGATCGGAGAGTTTTTGTGTTCTTCTGCGGTGAGTCTTACAGAACTTAGCTCTGACCGCATGGACAGTTTCCACGAGCTTCATAAAGAGTCTCTCTTTCTCCATAAAGTCGGCCAGCTGCTGGCCCCTACGCTTCCGTTGCCCTACTCCAAATTTCCCTAACTTCAGCTCACCGCTTTCTCTTATGCCTAGTTTGGCGTTAAAGTCTCCCATTAACACCGTGTAGTGCTGTATGACCTCCAGCGAATACCGTTTGGTGATTCTGAGTATCAGGTACGCGACCCTCGTCGACACACTCCCAATCTTTACAACGTTGTTGACGAGAGACTTGTGGACGATAAATCCGACACCTCCTTGGGACAGATGGTCGCCCTCCAGGTGATAGAACAAGTTGCCGGACTCGAGGATTACCGTGTCCTCCCCCTCTCTTCGGACCTCGGATAATCCAATAATATGCCAGCGCAACTTGTCTACCTCTTCTATTATTATAATTCTCTTACATACAGTTATAACGCTATTATTATTTTATTAAAACAACAATCAAAAAAGCCTAAAAGTAGCGGTGAATCCCCACTACTCCATATCATCCCGTGGGTGTCGTTGGGAGGCAACAGAGGGAAACTGAAACAGATGGCAGCTGAATCTTCCTGATAACAGCTCAAAAATATAAAAAACTGCAGTTGCCAACCCGACTGCCATGCGTGGCAACTACCCCCTATGAGGAAATCTTTTAGGAGGCCTATGTTCAGTATTTGACTATTACAGTCTGTAATGAATGATGAATAAATGAAAACTTTTTAACAAAAACAATTCAACCGCCGAAAAAACTGAAAAGCAAAAGATAATAAACCTTTTTCTTTTACCTTAATAACTAAGTTCTTAAACTAATATTAATCTACCTAAGTATACATTTTTGTAATTGTTTTGAATTTTTAATTAAGCGTAACAACTATATTCTTAAACTAAGTATACCTAAGTAATTTTGAGTAGTACCTCCTCTGTTTTTTCGTCGGTTGATGAATAAAACTCGCTGTTGAAAAAAGACCTCCCGCATACTCGTAGATGGATATTTGCCATAGCTAGCCACGTTTAGTAGCCAGGTTAGCAACCGCTGCTTTTATTACTTTAAATTATCATGATTTGTTTTCATTTTCCACCGCCGCTTCTTACGACACCCACGGTTAGAGTTGCCAGGTGACAGGAATTTTTATGACATGTCTGGAATTTTTACCTTCTGTCAGGAAAACAAGAAAAATTTGAAATTGGCAGGAATTAAAATGAAAATGAAAATGAAATATTAATTAAACAATTAATCACAAAAATGGTGATAAATGAATCAAATCTCAACAATTAAATTGTTAAATTAATCTGATCTGCTTCGTACTCTTTATTCCTGGATATTGCGCATAATATCAAACACATGCTGTGCGAGTTCTTACGAGTAGATATTTTTGCGGCATGTTTGTCAATGTTAGGAAATTTTGATTTTTTCCAGGAAAACTCATTTACGGATCTGGTAACCCTAACCACGGTATATGATATGGGGTAGCGGATTCTTTGACCCGCCAATACACGGCTTTAAGGCACACAGCACTAGTCAATAATAAAAATTATTTCTGTGGCATTACTGATTCACAAAAAACTGATAAATGATGTCAAAAAGTTGCCTATTCCAAAATTTAAGACGATATTAAAGAAATTTCTGGTTAATAAAATATATTATTATAATGTCAAAGAGTACTTAGAGGATAATTTAATAACAATAGTTTTAATTTAACTTGTTAATTGAAATTGTAACATAATAATAATAGTTTGAATTTAATTATAATTAAACAATAGTAATTTATAAATTTATTATATGCAACAAAAATGTATTAATTTGATTTTATTAGTATATTTAATAAAACATAATTTTCACATTATTTAATTTCTATGACAATTGATTGATACTTGATTAAAGAAATTTAATTTTGACTTTTACAACTTTAATGTATTTAGTATGACAAGACTCTACTCAACTATTGACATTTTTTTTCTTATTTTTCTTTTGATTTAAACGCACTAGTCTAATATTGCAGCGTAATTATACACCTCTTAAGGTAATATAATATGCAGTGTAGTAGTAACATATAATACAGTGTACATATTCTAATTTTCTGTAACAACTTTTATACTTACCTGTATTTTGCAAATAAATAAATTTGATTGATTTGATTTGAATATGATTGATATAAATTATCTTAAATTTATTAGTTATATTTAAAAGATAAATAATAAAAAAAAATTATAATAAAAATAAGTTTATTAAATTAAAGCTTATTAGTTTTCATAAGGATAGAAAGGATAGTCTTTCCATTCAACCGGATGGATAACACGTTTGTTTGTGTTATAACTACTAATTGTAGCAACCTCTTCCTCGGTGAGGCCGAAATCGAAAAGATTGATGTTCTCAACTATCCTTTTTTGGTTTGTAGATTTTGGTATCGGAATAACGCCGCGCTGAAGCTGAAAATAAAATATAAATAGTAAGCATTCCTGGTGTTATGCTTTTATTATTTCTCAAATTTTTTACAAAAACTTATGATAGTTTTAGTAAATAATATTATGAAAGGATAATAAAAAGTTCATTTAATATCAAATTTTAGCTCAACAATACAAAATTTTAACAGTAGTGTTTATTACGGACTATACGGCAAGCTTGCAACTCGTTTTTTAACACTTCTCAGTACACTTCTCAGTATGTTTTGCTATATTTTTCTTCAGTATTTTCGTGTTATTTGTTTTAGTGTGATAGATATATAAAAATAGAGATAAAGTAAAAGAGATTATATAATAAATACCATTACAAATAAATACCATTATAGTACCTACTATACTACTCCACTTGTTGTGATATAAGTGGAACGTGGAACAAATGTGTTACAAGTACCTACTAAAGGTGTTTTATAATAAATAATGATTTTCACGTTTTTATTTTAAATTAATGAAAAAGTTGTAAAATTATTAACGACAAGTGGCAAAATAAAAAAATTTGTACAACAAACTTCAATATAATCAAAATGAGATCATCATCGATGTAATCAAAGTCAATTTCGCATTATTATTCAAGTCGCATTATTAAATATAATTCAAAAACTACTGGTCAGTTCATGATTAAATTTATGTGAGACTACACGTGTACTTTCATATAAAAAAAAGAATCCTCCTTTTAGAAGTCAATAAAAAATAAATTAAAACATATCTCAAAAGTTTTTTAACGGACATAACTGTTTATTTCCTGTTGATTCGACACCATTAGTCGAAATGATTTTAGACGAAATGCAGCATAAGGCCAAATACATTTTAGAGTTTAGACTATCATAAACCAACTTATAAGTACACGTACACGTGAAATGCCTCTGTGGTATAAAAAATACAAAATATAAACGTCTGACACAATGAATATAAAATATACTATGCCAGCGTAAGAACATAGATAAATGCTTTCATGTTCATTTTCACGCGGTTTCTTATTATTAACCTATTTCATCGTAGTAAAGAGCTAAAAGTTCCATACGTTAGTCAAAGACATAGCCTATCTGTGTGGTGTGTCTATTTTCATCTAAATCCATGTAGTCCCTTTTGTGTGATTAACAACAAACATCTTCACCAACTTTTACATATTAGAACCTTTGAGTTACCGCTTCGAATATACGTAGGACACTCAATAAGTTTTGAGATGTACAAAAAGTATTCTAGATACTATTAATATGTATTTAACATCTTTTCAAAAGATTCTCCATCATGCTCTATACAAAGTTCCATTCGCAGAAACCAACTCTGAAAACACTTTTGCCAGTCTTTATCTGACAGGTCGGAAATCGATTCTTCGTAGACAGCCACGGCTTCTTCGGCGCTTGAAAAAAACTTGCCTTTAATTTTTTCTTTGACTCTTGGGAATAAAAATAATATCACAAGGAGCTAAGTCAGGGCTGTAGGGTGGGTGACTTAGAGTTTCAACACCAGATTCCTCATTAATGCTTTTGTTCTAAGGGAGATATGTGAAGAGGCGTTATCGTGATGCAGAATGATTCCCCGAAGCCCGGCCTTCGGTTTTATCTCCCGCACAGCTTGAAAAGCTTTTGGTAAATACAACTGTAGTATACCATTCAGAGTTGACTGACCTACAATTTTCCAGCATTGACGTCGTCAAATGTCTGCTCCGCGAAAAAAACCAGCCACCATTTTTTGCCGACGTTGCGACGTCTTTGCAGTTTTGTCGGTAGCTGTCCTTCTGAGTAAACCCATACCGATGATTGCCTTTTATTTTCCGGATCATAATGATAGATCCATGTCTCGTCACCAGCAACGATTTCTGAAACATGCTTAGATGCCCCGTTTTCAAAACGTAGACGCATTTCATGGCACTAATCCACACAAGTTTGTTTTCCGCTTTGGGAGTGCAAACGAGGGATCCATCGACAACAAAGCTTCCTCAGTCCAAGATGTTGATGTAGGATAGTATGAATGCTCTGCGAACTAATGCCTACAATCTTTTCGATGTCGGAATATGTGATTCGTGGGTCGTCTCACACCAACATTTCAGTAGTCCATACATTTTCTGCCGTTACTGCTGTTTGCGGGGCCCCGATTCTTTGGTCTATTTTAAGGTTAATTTTACCCCTTTCGAATTCAGCAAACCACCTAAAAATTGTTGCACGTGATGAAGCTGAGTCTCCTAATGACCTGACTGTAACCGTTGTAAACTTAATTGTTTGGTTAAACCAAAATTTAAATCATAATAGATTATAGCGCGCAAATGTTCACGGACAAGATCCATCGTTTTAAATAAAAAAACGCGGGAAGCGTTGCAGGAAAATTAATAGAACTTTGTTTTTCTTTAATATAGAGCAATTGGCTTATGGAGTTCTATTTTTTAATAAATTTGCTTTTTAGAAACAGAACACGGGTGCGTTCCATTTTTAAATTTCGAACATCTCAAAACTTATTGGGTGACCTACGTACTGGCCGAAAAGAAACTGCACCACGCTAAATAAAATATGTAAAAGAAATAAAAAAGAACTATTTTAGTAACGATTGACGTTATCAGTTACGTGCACAACCACGTAACATTTTTTTTATTTAATACTAAAACCGCAGAACAAAAACCTAAAATATTGTAAAACGTCGCTGTTTTTTGGATAATATATCATCATCCCATCGATTTATAAAGAACTAACTGGAGTAGGAGACGTTTTTGGTACTTCCCTTTATGGTAAGTTGTGCGATGAGTTCGTTTTGAATACAAAATTTATTTATAACTCGACCTTAACGCCATCTATTGGATTCAGATTATATGATTTCATCAACCTTCACATATTATGAATATGGATCATCTTGAACCATAAATATAGAATTTTGCATAACTGTTGACCAAAATTTATGGTATAAATATGACCTCAATCGATCAATTATTTCAAAAGTTACACGATAATTACAGTAGTAGCATCCGTTATAATATGATTTTTAAGGACTGACTGTTACCCGCGTATTAATTCTTATAAAAGGACTACCTTTCTTTTTTACTTTTATAGAAATATCTTACCAAATATCTCAAGATGACCTGCCCGAAGGATTTTCCGTATTTGTCGGCTATTTGCATGAGAGCTGTTTTGTCTAAATTTTGCTTAGCGCTGTCTCTGCCGACGAAGTAGCCGAACGGACTATAACCCATGACCACTATACCGTTCTCCATACAGAAGGTAACCATCGGCTCTTGAGTGAACGTAGGACTGACCTGTGAGAAATGAATTAGTATTATTACCATTGTGACACGCTTTTTGATAATCTTGCAAAGAACATGTAATTAAAATCGTGACGAAAGGCTATTGCGTTAGCAAAACTAGTGCTATAAGTACATATAACAATAACCTTTGAATAAAATAAAGATATTAATAGTTATTTTGCAACCATCCGCTCAATTAAATGAAATTATGTGTTTTACCTAGTTTGAAGAGCACCCACTACCAACACCACTACTCCCAACACCACTCTTCTAGGGTGGTGGTGTTGGGGTATAGTGGGTGCTCTTCAAACTAGGTAAAACACATCATTTCATTTAATTGAGCGGATGGTTGCAAAATAACTATTAATATCTTTATTATAATGGATTTCCGCAAAGTAATGCCTGATTCTATTAATTATTTGAAGAAAATGTTACTATTAGAGACATTTTGCAAGTATCCAATAATTAATATTGGACGTATAATGGCGTATCGTCTCGTGATTGTCATAAAAAACAACAGGGGGATATAAATAAATCAGGAGCATCGTTCTCAAAACAATTGAGTATAATAAAATAAACTGCGGTTGCCATCTCAGCCGCCAGGTGTGTCAACTATGAGAAATCCTGTAAGGACTAAAGTTTACGTTAAGCAGTGAACTTTGGATATTCTCTAATGAATAATCGATATAATCCTTCTAAAGGAGAAGGTGAAGAACTCACTCCTGTTGAGTCTTCTGTTTTTCTTTGCGTCACTCTCGACGCTAAGCTTTCGTGAGGCCCCCCATATATCTAAACTAGCAAGCAGACTAAGCTCTGCAGCTTATGCTGTAAAAAATATTAGAGATCTCACTAGTGTTGAGACAGCTAGATTAGTTTATTTTAGTTCTTTCCTTATAAATTCATACCATATTATTTAAAATAGATATCCTCGAAGTTTTCATGGTAATGCGACATTTTAAAGAATTGGGCCTTGTTCGCTTTATAGCCATCCTTAAACAATTGTTCTATATCGAATTATATCATTATTTTTAGAGAGCATTTTTTGCTAAATAGCAAAAAATGTTTACATCGCCACCATCGGTCATGCAATGAAGACGTGGTAAGACATGCAGAAAGTAGATGAATGCAGGTGGCTTAGGATTTATGTTATAGGCATTCCTTGGGGGAAGTTTATGTTTAAGAGCGGACTTGTGACAGGCTCTAATAATGAAGATGATGATGATGATGTCACTGTTTTCCTTCTATAAGAAAGGTGTAGTTGAAAAATTGTACTTCCAGTGTCGTGGAAAAGTGCATAACTGACAGCCTTTCAGTGTTCCACAGGTATCCAATTTATATTTCAAAGAGTGTGCATAGAAATAATCGAAACTTGCTATGTGGAAATCATTGAAGGACCTGCTAGGCCATCCCCAAATCACAACTTACCTCAACTTCATTCACTACTGGCTGAATTTTGCTGTTCGCCATCAACCTCTTCAACTGTTCGATATTGAAGTTGGACACGCCAATGGACCTAGCGAGTCCAAGTAACTTGGCTTCTTCCATGCCTTGCCAAGTTTCGAGATAGTCCACATAATCCGGCGAACCATCTTCCTAAATTAAAATAAACCATTTTAAATACGTAATTTAGATTTTACTTTATTTTATAAAACTATTTTCTCCCTATATCCTTCCATAGTGATACTAATTTTTAAAGATAACTAGCCAACATTATTTATACAAGATTACCGATCCGCCCTAGCTTCGCACGGGTGATTTTTTTGGATTTGAGGATCTTGACGCCAGCACCACCTACCGGGTGCAATTGTGAATCTAAACCATTCTCAGATCTATTTAATCACACATACACACACACACATACACACACACACACACACACACACACACACACACGCGCGCGCCGCGGGCACACGCTCACGCACACACACGCACACGCACGGACACACGCACACACACGCACACACGTACACACACGCACACGCACGCACACACATACACACACAGACATATACACACACACGCACACACACGCACACACACGCACCCACACACATACACACACAGACACATACACACATACACACACACACAAACACACACACACAAACACACACACACAAACAAACACAAACACACACACACACACTCACACACACACACACACTCACAAACACACACACACACACACACACACAAACACACACACACACACACACACACACACACACACACACACACACACACACACACACACACTCACACACACACACACACACACACACACACACACACACACACACACACACACAAACACAAACACAAAAACACACACGCACGCACGCACGCCCACACGGCGAACACATTACTAAAATTAGGTGCAAAATATAAATACTTATTATAACCGCGATTGAGGTACAAAGTACAAACAGGTTCATCTCCAAATTGAAACAAATCTACAGCATTGCAGGCACGTAGGTACACTATTCGGGTATCCGTTAGTTATCACATGTCATCCTATATACCTTTAAACGAGCAATTCTTTATATATATATATATATGAATGAGAAAGGAGATGGGCAGCAGCATCTTCCTAACAATAACAATAACATAATAAAAAACTGCGGTTGCCAACCCGCTCGCCTCGAAGCGTGGCAACTATGGCAAATATCCCCCCACGAGCAACGACACAAATAAACGGCCCCCAGTCCCCGGCGGCCCCGCTATTCCTGGCTACGGTGGCGACCATGGTAACGGCAGGGCAGGGGGTGCTAAGAATCTCCGGTGGAGGTTCGGTTGCCACTTACGACGACTCGACCTGGCAACGAATAACGCACGCACCCTGAGGACTGACGAGAAGATACTGGAGCTGGAAGAAGAGGTAGACAAGTTGCGCTGGCATATTATTGAATTATCTGAGGTCCGAAGAGAGGGGGAGGACACGGTAATCCTCGAGTCCGGCAACTTGTTCTATCACCGGGAGGGCGACCATCTGTCCCAAGGAGGTGTCGGATTTATCGTTAACAAGTCTCTCGTCAACAACGTTGTAAAGATTGGGAGTGTGTCGTCGAGGGTCGCGTACCTGATACTCAGAATCACCAAACGGTATTCGCTGAAGGTCATACAGGTCTACGCACCAACCTCGGCACATCCCGATGAGGAGGTGGAGGAAATGTATGAGGATATTTCTAGAGCCATGCATTCCTCCAAAACCCACTACACGGTGTTGATGGGAGACTTCAACGCAAAACTAGGCACAAGAGGAGGCGATGAGCTGAAGTTAGGAAAATTTGGAGTAGGGCAACGGAACCGTAGGGGCCAGCAGCTGGCTGACTTTACGGAGAAAGAGGGACTCTTTATGATGAACTCTTTCTTCCAGAAGCGGCCCCACAGGAAGTGGACCTGGTCGAGCCCCGACGGTTCGACAAAAAATGAGATTGACTTCATTATGACGACCAGACGCCAACTGTTCAGTGATGTCTCAGTGATCGCAAGGGTGAAACCGCCAGCGATCACCGAATGGTTAGAGGCACACTGAACCTAAACGTTAAGTTGGAGAGGTCTCGTCTAATGAAGCCAACGCTCCGTCCCCCTCGTGCTCTAATCCAGAATCCCGAGACTTTTCAGCTCGAGTTACGTAACCGCTTTCAGTGCCTAGAAGATTGCAATGCAGTGGACGATATGAATGACAAGCTCGTGGAAACTGTCCATGCGGTCGGAGCTAAGTTCTGCAAGACCCGCCGCAGAAGAACACAAAAACTCTCCGATCACACTCTTAATCTCGTGGCTGTTAGACGGGAGATGAGGCTGCAATCGTCAACAGATTTGACAGCATACAGGCAACTGAACAGACAGATCTCCAAATGCATGCGGCAAGACTTACGCAACTTTAATACTGCTCGTATTAAAGAAGCGATCGAGCGGAACCAGGGCTCCAAAGTCTTTACCAGAGATCTGTCTGCCAGAAAGAGCTAACTGTCAAAGCTGAAAACTGAGTGTGGCAGCATCGTTTCCGGGATACTTGAGATTTTGAGTGAGATTGAGAGGTTCCATGGGCAGCTGTACACATCATCGTTGGAGCCACACGCAAGTGTGAGTAACGATACAAGAGCAAGTCTTACCCGACACTATTCCGATGATATCCCGGACGTCAGTCTGAGCGAGATTAGAATGGCTCTCCAGCACCTTAAAAACGGCAGGGCCCCAGTCGAAGATGGAATTAAAGCGGAGCTTCTGAAAGCGGGTGGAACACCGGTACTTGAATTCCTTCAGAAGCTCTTCAATTCCGTCCTCCATGGTGGCACTACTCCGGAGGCGTGGAGCAGAAATGCAGTGGTCTTGTTCTTTAAGAAAGGCGACAACGCTCTCTTGAAGAACTACAGACCGATTTCCCTTCTAAGCCGCGTCTACGTGCTGTTTTCGAGAGTCATTACGAATCGTCTCGCACGCAGACTCGACGACTTCCAGCCTCCCAAACAAGCCGGTTTCCGAAAATGCTTCAGTACCAGAGACCACATACATACCCTGCGGCAGATTGTACAGAAGACCGAGGAGTACAATCTGCCACTTTGCCTGGCGTTATGTGGACTATGAGAAAGCCTTTGATTCCGTCGAAATTTGAGCGGTGCTACAGTCCCTTCAGCGGTGCCAAGTTGACTGTCGGTATATCGAGGTCCTGAAGTGTTTGTACAGTAGAGCTACGATGGCTATCCGAGTACAGAACCAGAGTTCGAAACCTATCCAACTGCAGAGAGGTGTAAGACAGGGTGACGTTATATCCCCGAAACTCTTCACCGCTGCGTTGGAAGACGTTTTAAAGCTACTGGGCTGGAAAGGATACGGTATTAACATCAATGGCGAGTACATCACTCACCTTCGATTTGCCGACGATATAGTCCTTATGGCAGAATCGCTGGAGGACCTTAGCACTATGCTCAATGACCTCAATGGTGTCTCCCAACGGATAGGTCTTAAGATGAACATGGACAAAACAAAGATTATGTTCAATGTCCATATCACACCTATGCCGGTAGTTGTGGGGGAGTACTATGCTCGAAGTTGTTGACGAGTACGTTTACCTGGGACAAATAGTCCGACTAGGTAAGTCCAACTTCGACCGAGAGGTCAATCGACGGATTCAACTTGGCTGGGCAGCGTTCGGGAAATTACGACACATCTTCTCGTCAGGTATACCTCAATCTCTGAAAACTAAAGTGTACAACCAGTGCGTGTTGCCAGTGATGACTTACGGATCAGAGACGTGGTCCTTCACTGCTGGCCGTATGAGGACGCTCAAGGTCGCTCAGCGAGCTATGGAGAGGGCTATGCTCGGAGTTTCTCTGCGTGATAGACTCAGAAATGAGGATATCTGCAGTAAAACCAGAGTGACCGACATAGCCCAACGGATTAGTAAGCTGAAGTGGCAATGGGCCGGCCATATAGCTCGAAGAACCGATAACCGATGGGGAAGAAAGGTTCTCGAGTGGCAGCCTCGTATCGGTAGGCGTAGTGTAGGGCGACCCCCCACTAGATGGAGTGACGACCTGGTAAGACATGCAGGAAGTCGATGGATGCAGGTGGCTCAGGACCGTGCTTTGTGGTATACCTTGGGGGAGGGCTATGTTCAGCAGTGGACTTGTGAAGGGCTGTAATGAAAAATGAAATGATGATATATATATATATATATATATATATATATATATATATATATATACATATATAAGAATCGCTTATAATCGGCATCTCGGAAACAGCTCCAATGATTTTCATGAAATTTAGTGTGCAGGGAATTTCGGGGGCAATCAATCGATCTAGCTAGGAATCATTTTTAGAAAATGTCGTTTTATTCACGGTTTTAGGCAATGAAAAAATGCTACAATATCATTAGAATACGAAAGTAAATTTTGCTAATGCCTTATAGGTTATAACAGCTCAAATGGGATATCGGGCGGTCCTGAAATCCTAGAACGCGGGTTCGAGTCTAAATGTCACCGGTTTCACTCTTTTTTTCCTTTTTTTTTCAAGTTCCTTCTTTTGTGATAAAATATATTATTTAGAGCCCTTTTTTAGTATATTTTTTTTTAAAACACGATAAATAATGACCGAGAAGTTCGAAAAATTTTATTCATATTTCATCAGTATGTAATTTGTATCTAAATATGTATAATGTAAATTATACAAAAAACATGATTTCCAAAAAAAAAAAATACCGAGCAAAGCTCATCATCCAGGTACTAATATTTTTAACCGTGTAGTGGAGATGTAAGAATATCCGCTACCCCATAACGTCCCGTGGGTGTCGTAAAAGGCGATAGAAAGTAACTGGAACAGGAGATGGGAAACAACATCTTCCTGATAACAACTCAAAATGAACGCCAGCCAAGCGTGGCAACTTTAGCAGAATCTAACATCTATCTTAGAATGAGGCTAACTGTGAGGGAGGCCTATGTTCAGTAGTGAACTTTTATAGGCTGTGATGGAAGGAATTGTAAACACGACTGTAAACAAAACATTTTCTTCAATATACCCCGAGGGGTAAGGCTATATGGTTATTTTAGTATATTTGTAAATAATAATAATAATAATACTATGAAGAATTGAAGAAAGTAACAAAATACGTGGTAGAGCCACGCTGCAGCTATATTACGGTTATAGCACGAGTGGGTCGGCTCGACCGGGGAAGAATTACGCACTTACAGCTTATATTACTTATATTAGCGTAAAATAGCAGTTTTACGCTGCTGTGTTTCGTATGGACCCTTTTTACTGGAATCCTCAATAGTCCTCACGTGTGACAACGCATTTCCATTTTGATTCGTATTGAAGATAAATGTTGATGTCTATGGGCCACAGCAACCACTTACCATCAGGTGGATTGTATGCTCGTTTGTCACCCTTATTCTATAAAAAAAAAAAGAGAAATATCAGATACTTTAACAATCTAATGTATAAAAATGAATATATGTTTGTTCGTATTTTATACGCTGCCATACAGTTCATCAGATTGCGGTAAAACTTTGCTAACACATTGCTTGTACTCGTACTTCCGTGAAGGTTATAGGCATAGCCCTATTGGAACCGGTAGGTTGGGATCCAGATATTACCCGTACGAAACCGGGGGCAGATCGCTAATATAGAACAATAAATACTAAAGTTTCTTACCTTCATAGATATAGGGAAATGTATCAAAAATAGATCAACGTAATCTAGTCCAAGTCGACTAAGAGACTCCCGCAATGCCGGTACAACTTGTTCTCGTCGATGTTTATCATTCCACAGCTAAAAAGTAAAAATTTTATAGAAATCGATTCGAAAATCGAGATATATTATGACTCGGTTATACTGTATTAGAGAAAATGTGTCATAATTCAAAAAAAGTTAACCTTAGTGGTAACGAATATGTTGTCTCTAGTGATTATGTTCTTTGCTATCGCTTCCGCTATTCCTTGTCCTACTTGCTCTTCGTCACCATATGCAGCAGCTGTGTCGATGTGCCGATACCCAGCCTCTAAAGCCCAGAAGACTGCTTTACGGACGTCGTCTAAGGATTCGTTCTGAAAATAAGGTATATAAGTTGATAACACGTATTATATCTTGTATCACACCATTATTTTTGTAAGTTATAGCTTTAAGTCATGATGTAATCTGTTGTGTTGTCCTATAAGAAATAAAAAAATGCAAAAAAAAAGAAAAAAGAAAATAAGGGATGTTGTAAGACAAGCAAGAGTAAAAGGGAGAATGGAAGGAATGTGGTTAAAATAACCATAATAGTCACAACCTATATACATCCCACTTGTGGGCAGAGGCTTTTTATCTTCTATTCTATTAAGAAGGTTTTAGGGCAATTAAAGTGCGTGTTAGCGGCTTTAAATGTCTTCAATTTTATTCATGTCGTCGGTGATCGAACCTCGAGCCGGAAGATGCTATTAAAAAGTCAAAAATTCATACTTTTGTTATTTATTTGGATTTGCAATCAACTTACAAACGAACGCAACGTCTATTCTGTCGTTGTCTTACCCACTACGAGCAATTAATAGGGTTAAGTGCTCGTAGCTTACCCATGATAACCTTGTACATCCCTTAACTTATGAGCATAATTTGGGCTCCATTCGTTATATATTATCTACCATTCACACATAAATATGGAAATAGAAGAGCATTACTGCATAGAAAAATAAAACTACGAATGAATATATAAATGAATATATATATATATATATATATATATATATATATATATATATATATATATAAAGATAAATAATTATTTTAACAGCTATCGCGTGATTTAATCACAATACTCCATATAATCACGCCTTACGAGTCTATACGAGAACGTAAAACAATCTTTGTGGTTGGATAATGAGGAAGTCTCTATTGTTTAATTTAATACCCACAGTGGCATTCTGTTTGCGGTTTCGATTCGATAATAACATCATCGTCATCGCCATCATTATAGTCTATCAATGTCCACTGCTCAAAATAGGCCTCTACATAGACTGATTAGTGATACGTAATGATATGTTTTATACGTGGTAAAGCCACACTGCAACTATATTATGGTTGTAGCACAAATGGGTCACCTCGACTTGGGAAGGACCAGGCTCCACAGAATACCAGTGTTAAATAGGAGCTCTATGTTCGAAAGGCGACTTTATTCGATTCGCCGGTTGGCTCGCGACGTAAAATGGCGGGAATTGCAAATTTTTTGCTAACTTGCAAATTTTGCTATATTTTCACTTTGAGACAATATTTATGGATAAAACTTACAGGGATTCTTATTGAATGTATAAATTATCGAATAAAATTATTTTTAATGCTAGAAATTGTAATAAAATGCATAAATTACCCTTTATAACATAGTAGTAGTAGACACTTCACTTTTAGTCTAAAATTACTACTAATTTGAATTCTACATGTTTGTTTTTGGAGAAATCTATATGAAAATGTTTGGAAATATGTATATTTTTATGTTTTATGTGTTTCTATTCGTTACTCATACCAAAATATAAAAATAAAAAATTTTATCTGTATGTGATTTCCTCATTTCAAATATATTTTTGTGTGAATTTGAAATAAATACAACGTCAAGTTATTTGAAATATGTTATAAAACTATTTTTTAGTTACATTTTACACTAAAAATAAATGAGAATTGTAAAAATAACACATTTTTGACCCAACCGCTAAAATGGGCCTTCCCGATTTCGAAGTACATTTGGCACTTACTTTTCACTTTTTATGCCACAAATTATATATCTACGTGTTTGTTTTATTACAAAGAATACACAAAAGTATAAAACTCATCTTTTTTATTTCAAAAACACACAGAAAAACGGAGAAATCACTCAGAAATAGCTCACGCACTACCACGCACTACTGTTGTAAAAAGCCATTACGCACAGAACACTATTACTCCTATCCAATACGTCAGAATGATTTTTATGTCTATTTTTAGAATCGAAATTGACAGATTATGTAAAGAGTATGTCTTTGTCTATGTCTGTATTATACGTTTCAGTATAAATTTGTTAAAATTTTTAATGACAAACCTTTTTTTGTCGGGTTCGCGCTCATAAATTATGAGTGGTACTAATGTGTATCCTTGTCGAGCGGGCGGATGGCGTTGTGTTAGTCACATTTGTACCACTGTCGAACGAACAGGTGTACCTGTTAACTCTTTAGTAGTGGTATTGGCGGTGTAAGAATATCGACTACTGCATTTTTTTTATAAGATAGGGAGTCAAACGAGCGCACAGTCCACCTGTTGGTAAGTGGTTGCTATGGCCCATAGATATATCCATCCTCGATTAAAAATTAAAATTCAGATGCGTCGTCGTCCTGAGGACTAGCCTCATTTCCAGTAAAAAGCGTCTCCGGTTCTACACTCACCATAACACAGCAGCGTTAATAACTTTAAGCCGATCAAAATTTCACTGTTGAACATAGGACTCATATGGTCATAGGAAGGATATTTTTTTATAGAATAGGGTGACAAACGAGCACACAGTCCACCTGATGGTAAGTGGTTTCTGTGGCCCATAGATATCTACATCTATCCTAGATTACGAATCAAAATGCAGAAGCATTTTCACCCGTGAGGACTTAGATGGAATGCCTCATTTCCAGTAAAAAGGGTCTCCGGTTCTCTATACTCACCATACGAAACACAGCAGCATTAAGCTACTATTTGACGCTGGTATTCTGTGAGAGCGTGGTCCTTCCCCGGTCGAGCCGACCCATTCGTACTACAACTATACTACTAATATAACTGCAGCATTGCTCTACCATAAAAAAAAATATTTTTTACGTTTTTACGTGTTTGTACGTATTACCGCGTAAAGTCTATTTGATGTAGTGGTCACGTTTAGCAGACGAGTTGGAAACAACAGTTTTTTTATTTTTTATTTGTAATTAGAAAGGCATGCCACTCTCCTGGTTTGTTTTCGTCTGACGTCTTACACCCACGGGGCAATAACGGATAGTAGATATTCTTACACCGCCACTACACGGTCAGTTAACAATAACTTATTTATAGTTTTACGTGGTAGAGCCATCCTGTAGCTATATTACTGGTATAGTTGTAGCACGAATGGGTCGGCTCGACGGGGACAGATTTCACTTACAGAATACCCTCGTCAGCGTTGCCAGACGTCCGGATAAAGCCGGACACAGTCAGGCTTTTTGGTTTCGTGTCCGGCCAAATTAGACGGTGTCCGGTTTTTGTTAGACTTTTTCAATTTGACCATTTCTTACATTTTTCATATACTTACATACATACTATTGCTATTATTGAAATTAATATTGTAATGAATATTAAATAATTAATAATAAAGAAGTCTGATTTATTCAATTGTTGTTATTTCGTTAGAACTTAAGTAGATTTTACGGTAAATGATAAAAAGCATTGTTATATTGAATAAAACTAAATTTACGGATTTTTATCGCGTTTATTTCACTACTTTTACTTATTTTTAATTCCCGACGTTTCGGGTGCTTTACAGCAACCATGGTCACGGGGGGACTGAGATGTTTGACGACCCAATGTCATAGTTAGTCCGGCTACCTTCAGTTTTTGAATATAAATTTTTGGTCCGATTTACGCAAAAAAAATTTAAAAAAAATTTAAAAAAAAATTTAAAAAAAAAATATTCAAAAACTGAAGGTAGCCGGACTAACTATGACATTGGGACGTCAAACATCTCAGTCCCCCCCGTGACCATGGTTGCTGTAAAGCACCCGAAACGTCGGGAATTAAAAATAAGTAAAAGTAGTGAAATAAACGCGATAAAATCCATAAATTTAGTTTTATTCAATGTGTAGTGTTCGCGTAAATTTAAGAAATCAGCATTGTTATACTTTTAAAAAATTTCTTTTACTAAGACAAATAAAATAAGGGTGTCCGGGCCTTTTTACCAAAATGTCCGGCTAAGCTCACTGATCTGTCGGGCTTTTCGGTTTTAAGACCTGGCAACCCTACACGCGTTAAATAGCAGCTTAATGCCTCTATGTCTCGTTTGGTGAGTGTAGAAAACCGGAGACCCTTTTTACTGGAAGTTAGGCATTCAATCTTAGTCCTTACGGGTGACAACGCATCTGCATTTTGATTCACTATAGAGGATAGATATAGATGTCTATGGGCCACAGCATCCACTTACCATCAGGTGGACTGTGTGCTCGTTTGTCACCCTTATATTATAAAAAAGTTAATACTGTACATAGTGATTATATGCTCTTTAAACAAGCGACCAGTGACTTCACTATTTTTAAAAGGAATTACTTAGAATTTCTTGGGTCTTATATAGCAGTAATCCAACTATAAGCTTAACGATTATGGCAAATTTCTTATGTTTATGAAAGGTCTATGTCCGAGTGAAATGTTGCGGGCTAATGACCACGGCATATTTACCTCAAGCAAATAATCAAAGCAAACAACAGAGCTGCGCAAATATTGAATTGACTTATAACGAACAAATAGTTCCTAAGGTCATGCTTCATCATTTATGACAGTTTATTTTAAAAATACTAACTGGCTTGGCAAACTTTGTTCTGCCATTTCCGGTCCGTGGTAAGTTTCACAAAAGCCATTTTACAATATAAATAGAAAATTTATCAATAACTTTACCCCAGCGCCACCGAGTCCAGAATTTGTGACTATTTTTTTTAACTATAAGAGTCAATGATTCAATGCACTCGTACGACACTTCGTATTTACATAACATAAACACTCACGCCTGTCACCCAGAGGGGTAGGCAGAGATTACGGACTTCCATTTGGCACGATCCTGACATACCTCTTTCGCCTCCTTTACATCCATATATCTACGCATACATGCTCGTCGGTTAAGGGTACTTCTAACGTGGCCCATTTTCAAAATATCGCCAATTTGGTCGACAAACTTTTTTCTAGGGCGTCCCTTCCCGACTCGGCCGTTCACATCTGCCATATAAATTTGCTTTGTCACTCTTTCATCATTCATTCTTTCTACGTGACCAAACCACCGAAGCATTCCTTTCTTAATCCTGGTCACAACATCATCTTGCATACCACATTTATCTCTTATCACGCAATTTCTCACCCTGTCATTCAGATTAAACCCTAGCATATTTCTTAAAGAACGCATTTCTACAGCATTTATTCTACTTTCGTGCTTCTTCTGCCACACCCAGCTTTCACTACCATACATTAACGTAGGGACTAACACAGCATTATGAATTACCATACGTGCCTGTTTTGACACATTCTGGTTCTTCATAATAGAGTGTAGTGCCCCATTCACTCTATTCCCTGCATTTACTCGTCGTTCTATATCCCTATCATATCTACCATCCCTGCTAAATACACATCCCAAATACACAAACTCATCCACTTGCTCAATTAACTCTCCTTCTATTCTTATTTCACATACCGTTTTGCTTTCTTCTCTTTCAAAAACCATCACATTCGTCTTACTTGCGTTCACTTTCATTCCCCTTTCTTTTAATTCCCAGTTCATTAATGTAACCATCATTTGCAACTCAGCCGCTGATGACGCAAATATGACTTGATCATCGGCATACAAAAGGCATTTGACGGTTAACTCGCCCATTATTAAACCACATTCTTCATCTTTCAAAGTTTGCAAACACCGGTTCCATAAATAGGTTGAACAGCCAAGGGGAAGCTACACAGCCTTGTCTGACACCTTTTTGGATGCCAAACCAGTCCGAGTAGACCCCATTGATCCTAACACAAGCACTAGAGTCCCTATAAAGAGACCCTAATGCCTGTATCAAACCAGCGCTCAACCCATATGAGTTCAGTGTTTGCCGTAACACATTCCTGTTCACTCTGTCATAAGCCTTTTCCAAGTCCATGAACGCACAAAAAACTTTCTGGTTTTTGGCCAAAAACTTCTCCGCAATCATGCGCATGGAAAAGACTTGATCTGTGCACCCCATTCCCTTTCTAAAACCCGCTTGCACATCCCAAATTTTTCCATCAGTTTCTTTCATAACTCTTTCAATTAACACCTTAGCATACAGTTTACCCACAATACTAAGCAAGCTGATACCGCGGTAGTTTTTGCAGTCCTGCTGTGACCCTTTTCCTTTATATATTGGTACTATAACTGCTTTACACCAGTCATCCGGTACATGTTTTAATTCCCAACATAAATTAAACAAGGTGTACAGCAGGCCTGCCACCACTCCCTCTCCAGCCCTTAGTATCTCGAGTGATACTCTATCATATCCAGCTGCCTTACCTGCTTTCATGCTTTTCATTGCTTTCATTATTTCATCTACACTTATCTCCATACCCCTTTCCACTTCTTTCGGAATTTCTAGTTCATTTAATTCATACGACTCTTCACTCATAAACACGCTTTCAAAGTATTGCTTCCATCTGTTTAAATTCGAAACTTCATCATTCAGAATACATCCATTCTCGTCTCTTATAGCATTTATTATAGGCTGTTTTGTATTTCCCCTGGCAGTTCTTACGAGTTTCCAGAACATTTTTATGTTAGCCTGGAAATTATCAGATATCCTTCTATCATTCTTATCCATTCTTTTTTTCTTTTTCCTTTCAACAACTTCTTTTACTCTCTTATTTAGACGTCTAAATTCTGCCTTTTTTCTTTCAATCTCATCATTCATACCAGAAGAATTACCAGCTTTGGTTGCTAGTAAATCTAACCATGCTTTCTTCTTTGATTCAACTTCCACCCGTACCTCATCATCCCACCACAACGTATTACTTTTCCTTTCATTTGTTCTTTTACTTACACCACATACTTCGGTGGCGGTATCCACCAAACCTTTCTTAATATTATCCCACACAGTCTTCAAGTCTAAATCATTCATACACAACTCATTCAAACATCTAATATTTTCTCTCAGTCTACATTTATACTTCTCTTTCACATCTTCATCTTGTAACTTCTCTATTCTTATACGCTGTAACGCAGTGGTAGACACAGATGTCCGATGCCGCCAACGCTTGAAAAGACCATTAATTCGACATAAGACCAAGTAATGATCCGTCCCTACGTTGGACCCCCGGTAAAACCTTGTATCTACGACTGCGCTCCTCATTCTTTCATCCACAATTATGAAATCTATCATGCTTCTATCATCACCTCTTTCCCATGTATACATGTGAATCTTCTTATGACGAAAAAAAGTATTCGTCACAAAAAGATTCTTTTCCGCACATACGGTGAGGAGGTCTTCACCATTCTCATTTATACTTTCATCACCAAACGTTCCCAATATCCTTTCATAACCAGACCTCTTCATCCCCAACCCTTCCATTAAAGTCTCCTAACATAATAATATTTTCATTTTCCTTACATTTTGTCAACACCATCCTTACCATGTCCCAAAACTGCTCTCGAATGTAAGCGGGCTTAGACATGTCTGGGGCGTACACCCCTAGCAGGAACAGCTTCTTTAAGCCCACTTTCATTCGTATCCATAGCAGTCTCGGGCTTACACATTCATACTCTTTCACACATTGACCCATTCTTTCTGAAAGGATGAAACCGACTCCCCTGGCACGCCCGTTCGGTCTCGCCTACATCAGACCAATACGCGGTATACGTGCCATGTGCAGTGGCATCCTTTCCCTTTCGTTTCGTCTCATTCACACATAACACATCTATTCCTCTGTCATTCATCATTTCGCATACTTCATCCATCTTATCATTCATTCCTCCACATACATTCAGCGTAGCCAGACGGGTTTCCGCAATCCACTTTTCGCCCCTCCGGGAGACAGAACGTGACGGGTGGCGAACCTCGTCGCCGGTTTTTCTCCCGGAGATTCTTCGCACCCCTGCCCCATTTAAGGGGCGCCGGGAACTCGGGGCCATTTCTTTTATTTCCTGAGTCATTCGAACAAGGGGTGGTGGTAGATTTTACGCCGCTACCATACGGCGAGGAGCCGAGTCTATTTTTTCGGCTTTGTCGCTCGTTTAGCACCACCCGGGGGACACGTGTAGGGTGGGCCTAAGGTTAGGTGGTCGGAGCCTACGGACGCGAGCGACTCATCCCCCTTCGTATTTATTAGGCGTTATTTATTAATACTAAGTTGGCAATTAACAATTAAAGACAGTGGTTACAAAGTACCTTTGTATAAACCGAACAGTGGTCATGACGCACTCTGCTGACAATAATCTTCCGATTATCATCAATATCAGCTTCATCATCAACCTAGCATCTTTACCACCAAGTTCTCATACTTATTAATTGTTATCAGTAAATGTAGCAAATACATAAACCAACATACTAAATATACCTTACTGTGGATATGAATAATTTTGATTCCTGAAGTTTGTTAATAAATTGACTATAGCGTCATCTAACTATCATAACTATGAAATATGGTCTAAACAAAAAAAAATGTGTGAATATAATCCCAATTAGTTAATTTGTTCAAAAGATCACATTAACAGACTCACTCAGGAGACACTAGCTTGCTTTGAAAAACTTACTTTGTTTATCACGCAGTACGATTTAATTATAATTATTTTTAAGTAGTTAGGATATTATTCTATTAAAGACAAAAGACATTTTCTCTAAAACTACGAGTAAATATAAAATAGACCGACGTGCGTTGCTATGTGCTTACCTCTTTAGCAGTACCTCTACCGGTTCCTAGGGCAACGATCGGCATAAGATTACCATCGTTTAATTGCACACACGGCACCTGTGATTCCGCAGTCACCATCTGCAATTTTAATTATTTTACATTACTTAGAATTTTATCACATACGCTTATATTTTAATTTATTATTATAATAACCTTGTGCCATTTTTAAGGTAGGATATATATTATTTCTTATTTTGTTTAATGTATTTATTACTTCTTCGCCGTGTAGTGGCGGAGAAAGACAACCCTCTACCCTGTATTATCCCGGAGGTATAAGAGGCGAAAGAAGGAAAAGAAACAAGAGAGCATCAGCATCTTCCTAATAACTACTCAAAATAATAAAAAACTTCGTTTGCCAGCAGGCGGTGCCTGCCAAGCGTTGCAACTATGGCAGCTATCTATTAGGTGATATATGGAGATGGCATGTGTCCAGCAGTGGAATAGGCTGTTATTATGATAACACATACAAGACGTTCTGGTGATTCAGTAATTCCTAGTTTTCGCCATCTAGTGGCGGCATAAGAAAATCTATTATACCGTTTCTTTTTTCGAACGCGCCAAATAATAAATCACGTGACTTAACGTTAAGCTTAAGTTAAGTTTTCTTATTCATTGTAGAAGTCTAACTTGGTTGAACCCGCAGACCGGTGACGTTTAGCAGTGTTAAAGGTCTTGGTAAGGCAGTTGCAATGCCCTAGCGTTGCGGTTACGACAATTCACCATACAATGTGTCCGAGCCATGTCTAGGAATGAACTATTATGGACTGGTGAAGATGAAGACGTTTCCGTGGGGTGGCGGCAAGGGAATCCATCACCACATTTCGTTTATGCGTCTCAATAATGTTACCAATTCTCTCAAATGGAATGTTACGAGAATCTACAGGATTCTCTCAAGATACAAGACGAAATAAGACATGCATTTTCTCATCACGCACAAAGAGTAAAATCATTATATTATCAACGTGAACATCAAAATTAAAGTAATTTTTTTGTAGTCATTATAAAAGCAAGGGAATGAAACTTAAGTCATTCGAAAGGTACGGTACCATACATATGCACAAAAACGAAAGTCATGTCTAAAATAAAGTGATCATACACACATGATTTTTCCATACAAAACGCTTTAATCAATTAAATGAATGCATTTTGATCACGTTTATAGCTGTATGATCCAAGATCCCTTCTTCCTTCCTTCTTCAGGCCTTCCCTGCACGTAACAAAGATAATATCTTTGGCACGGAACAATCTTACAAAAAAAAAACATTTATGCAAAATAAAAGAAATACTAAGCGTGAGGGGTACATAATTTGTGACGAAGTAACCCTAAACAACTTATGATAAAGTTCAATTTCAGTTTATATATTTCCTATCATTGGGCACAGTGCTCCTATCGTTTTTTAAAAACAGTGATGTAGCAATTAGTCAACCGCGCTGCTCCAGTACATTACTGGCAAACCTCATTTTCTCGAAATATTTAAAACAATAATTAATTATCGAATAAATTGTTTTGCAATTTCCTCATTTCAATCATCGCCAAGCTCGTGTTTACAGCACTTAAAATTGCACTTTACAATTTCGAAGTAGCGGTATTGCTTCGCCCCCGAGCTAGCACGGCTCTTGAACCTATCCTTAAGCAAAAAATCTAAAGGTGCGTTGTCAATCCGGACTAAGATGCAATGCCTTTTAGCTAATATATATAATTACTACATTCACAAATAACATAACTTATAAGTGTGTGTTAAATTGCGTTTGTGTGAGTATGTGTGTCGCAAACCAATCGTACAGTTTTATAATTTCGCCGGCCCAAATTACAACTGTTTCTTACGACACGCTCAGATTTCCGTAGTGACAAAGATTAATTTATTACATTACTTTAAGATAGTTGAGCAAGGTAAACCTACTTAATTGATCATTAAAGATATAAATAACGCATTTACGTTTGCCGGTGTTACCTGTCCATCGAATAAGAAAAATCGGCGTAGGTAATGGGAATCATTTATGCCGGATTTCTATTTTTAAAAACGCTTCATTTTCTTTTAAGAGCCGTTTTGCAGTAAATGAGTAGCATGGAAACCGCTTTTTATTACTGACTTCAAAAAGGAGAATTAGAAAGAAGAGAGAAAAGAATCTCCAGAGAAGGAGAAAACAAAAAATTCAACCGTATGTTTTTTTGTATGTATGGTACTTTTTTCTGGGTGAACCGATTTTGATGATTCTTTTTTATCTGAAAGCTGGTACTTCTTGTGTGGTCTTATACCAAAATCAAGATATTGGAATCAAGATCTGACTAGTAGTTTTTGAGTTATCCTTAATAGTGCGTATTTAATGACTGTTTTCCTTATTTTAATTATTATATTGAAGTCGGTTGCACAAAATTTTTAATTTTACCACTTGTTAAAATAATATACCAGTTCAACTGTTTATGAATCGTTTAGTTTTTCAATTTAAGTCATATTAAGTTGCCGAATGAATAATTTGTAAGATAAACTGTTTTCACATGCACCTCATGTTTAATTAAACGGATCGTTACGAAGAATGAAACGTTCCTTGAATATAAGAATCAAGCATAACTGTTTTGTAATACTATCCTAACGATTGGAAAATAAAATTCCTATTCCGACTCCGCTCATAATAAAATGCGTACAATCGCCATGGAAAATATTTTATTCGTCGAAACAATTTCAAGCATAAACAAAACTAAATCAAATTCATATGCGAATTCGTATTCACATAATCAGTAGTTATCATTTCATTCAGTCAGTAGTTAATTTTAATCTTACATTTAAATTAATTCGTTGCTCCCGTCAAAAAATAGTCAGTAAAATATATTTTTTTAATTTAAGTTTTATGGCTTATTGCCTATATTATTCGGATAGGCTATATATAATATTGACTAGTATTGACAATAGTGACTACCTCGTCGGTCTAGTAGTCGTAAGTCGTATTTTCAGGTCCCGGGTTTGATGCCGGATCGTGCCAAAAATAAGTAATTGAGTTTATCTGTCAAAAAATTCTCGGCAGCAACTTGGAATCAGGAAGTTGGCGGCGTTTCATTCCCGTGCCTCGAAGAGCACGTAAAGCCGTTGGTTCTGCACCTGTTCCGGTCGTGTTGGAGAATGCGGGAAATATAAAGAGAACATGTGTTTGCGCAAACACCGCGGGCACTATAATCCTGTCCATCTCAGATGGCTAGTCTCCTTCTAGACTGGCCCCTATGACCGAAATGCAGTCTGGAGGACATTATTATATCATAGATTTTTATATCTATAGAGCGGGGGGGGGGGATGGCTTCGGCTGCATTCGGTCGCCACGAATGTATGTCACAGCCAAATAGGAAATAAGACATATTAATAAAAGCCTAGTCGTACGCATATCATGTAATGTATCAGCGTTTTGCGTTTTACAATGCAGCTAATAATGCTAAATTTTAAGTGCCATGCATTACAAAACAAACAAATACAGTGAGTTGTCTTTAATACCGCAACATTCAACAGCGCTTTTGCATTGTGGCTAGAAATTATGTCGTAAAGAAAGTGGACCGAACAAGTCGTTTTGTAATCAGGCTAGACTTTGACATAGATCGTAACGTCATTCCGGCTGAACGTCAATAATCTGTATATATCTATTGAAACTAAGACTTCGTCAGTCAAACAGGAAAATCATTTCCATTGGGGCATTTGATCAGACCTATCGGCCAAACGGGAAATACCCACCACCCATAGGTTACCGCGGCGTGATAGAAATGACCGAACCTGTTAAAACTCTAAAACTCGACTAACCACTTGGTTCTTCTAATTAAAAAAATCGTTTTCATTTTAATTCCGTTTAGTAAATCCGTCAAAGGAAAATTTATCTAAAACAAAATATTCATACTACTTACGAGGAAACAGAGGGAAACTTCTTTTTTTATGTCGTCCTGAGCTCGAACAGATAGAGCGCAATGACAGGAGTGAACTAGACTATATTTTAAACAAAAATCTTCGAGATTTTTAAATCAAAAATTTTATAAATTAAATTTTGATAATTGATAATTTTGAGCCTTTGATAATTGTCTTAAGCCGTTGTCCAAGCTGGCTCGATGAAAAAGATCGTTAGATGATCTAAAAGGTGTTCTAAAAGATCGCGCGATATCCATCGGGCGATGACGCGATGCCGCCGCGCCGTCAACGTAACAGCACCATTTCAACAATTGCTGTTTACTGAGATGCACAGTTTTTTTACTCTCTGAGGTTTCTTATCGTCTCTAACTCGACTCACCAGTGCCCTTGCGACCTTGCGTTGCTGCGTACGCACGATGACGCGTGACCAATTAGAACACTCAAAAGAGATTTATAGCTTTGATTGCACGATCGAACGATCAAACCCATCGTGCGATCATTATTAAGCATTTCTTGTGCTCACAAGATCATTTGCAAGCTTCAATTAGGACACTTTAAAGAAATGTTTGCTCGTACCGTCGTATCGTTGTCAATTACGACGATGCCTAAATCTAATTTTTTTATAGCATAAGAGTCACAAACAAGCACACAGTCCACCTGATGGTAAGTGGTTGTTGTGGCCTATAAACATATACATCCATCCTCGATTACGAATCTAAATACAGATGCGTTGTCACCAGTGAGGACTAAGATGGAATGCCTCGTTTCCACTAAAAAGAGTCTCCGGATGTTTACAATCACCATACGAAACACAGCACCATTAAGCTGCTATTTTACGCTGGTGTTCTGTGAGAGCGTGGTCCTACTCCTACCCCAGTAGTGCTGACCCATTCGTGCTACAACCGTACTATATACTAATATAGCTGCAGCGAGGCCCTATCAAGTAAATAAAGCCAAATTAATAGATTATGTCCGGACGGAGTCGGGTAGGCTCGCTATTTACAAATAAAACCTTGTCAATATTAGTCCAAGCGTAGGATAAAATTATTCAATATTAATTTATAATACGGTAATACGTTACAAGATGACAAAATATAACCTTCAAAAGAATTCAAGGTTCAGAGATCAAAAAATACGGTCGGTTTTAGCTAAAAAGAGGAATTAACGTGTATTATAATTAAGGAACCGAGTTACCATACATATTCATACTCTTTTTTCTTTGAGATGGCGAAGTAAGAGAATATAATCATCCGTAGGTATCATAAAAGGCGACTGAGATATGCCAAAAAAACTTCCGATAGATGGCAGTAATGAATTAATAAAACATGGGGTAAATAAAATAAAATAAAAAACATATTTTCTGCATTTGTCAGCAGATCAACCATTACGATTAGTGATGCAACAGAACTCTGTTTCTGTTTCCGCAACTGCGGAAGTTCTGCATGGTTTTTGACATCCGATTTTGCTTCCGTTTCCGCAAGTTTTATAACCGAAGTTTGAACGGAACTCAGTGACGCAGCCACATAAGTAGAGGAGGGGTGGAGGAGGGGGGGGATAATTTCAGCCAATCACGAGTGAGCTGGGCAAGAACTTTCGGCACTAGTACCAACGGGTTTGCTTACGTACTTTATTAACTTTATTATACGGCGTGACATGAGTGTAAGTGCGTAAGATTTTCTGTTATAGTTTTTTTAGTTAATTGGTAATTTTAGTCGTGTGTGTAATTTAAGTGCAATCATAAAGCCAAAAAAGAGTCCTGTTTGGAACTATTATGTTGAGATTGATGATTTAGCAGCCAGATGTAAATTATGTGACAAAATATACTCGCCAAAAGAATGCACAACTACCACTTTAAAGAGCAATCTTAAAGCGATACACACCGAAGAGTTTCCAGTTTGAAAAGTTAGTTGAAACTGTAAAACTTTCATTGCAAACTAAAAAACAAATGGTCAATTGCATACCTATTTATTTATAAAATGTGGAATACATGTTATAGTTAAACCTCGTTTTTAGTTAAAACGTGTTTTCTCCAGTTAAAATTAATTTTACTAAATGCCTTTGTTACAACGAAGATTTGTAAAATTAATTAGGCAGCAGTTATGTTAACGTAAAGTTTATATTGATTATTTTTTACGCGAAGTTTATATTATTGATTTTTTTACTTGTATTTTATATTTATTATTTTTAAAGACACTTTAATGAGTATTTTGGATTCAAAGTTCGTTTACGTCGTAATTTCGTGCTAGGGTTTTTTACTCGCTCAACGTAAATGCGGCTCTTTAAAGGATCTGCCCATATTTCAGTGCCAATTTAGCTTTGGTGTATACGCAGCATCGCCAGTGAGCAATAATTACTTAGCTGGACTTATATTTATTTATTTATTTATTTATTTATTTATAACATACATGCATACAAGCTAACAGATGCTATATATGAAGAACACTGGGACAGATTGTTAGGTGTAAAAGCAGTCGAACTACTTTTCATAAAAAATAACATGCCGCTACTTAAATTTGAATGTTAATTAAAGGTTTTATATAAGTAGTATTTCCGTTTCCACATCCGTTTTAGATTCCGTTTCTGCTTCCGATATGACACTTCCTTCGCATCACTAATTATAATATCCTCCACACCGAATTTCGGACACGACGACCAGTCTCAACGCAGACTAACCGTCTTGCTGGACAGGATAAAAAATATATATATATATATATATATATATATATCAGTGGCGAAGGTTTCATTAAAGTCGAAAAGCCGGGCTTGCCTTATTAAACCTGAATCAATCAATAATATCAACTAATAAAATGACTCGTAAAGTGTTTCAAGCTATTTCAAATTTCCCGCGCACTCCACTGTTCGGCACATGTCGACCGATGACCTCGTATTGCCTTAGCGATACTGATGCTGTCATAAAAAATGAGTTTTAATAGAGCTAGTAGTTGTCTTCCTCGCTCGCGTGGGCTTTTTAGGGGGCTTTCGAGAAGATGACCGCTCTCTTTCTAACCTATGGCAAAATATTCTATAATGAAATATATAGCAATTAGTATAGAGATTTAAAGCCAGGCTTTTGGGAATAAAGCGGAGGCGCGCGGGCAATACGTTTGCAAGTTCATTTCACGTTTCAATGTTTATTTACTCTGTGTACTCTGTGTGCTTATCTTAAGCGATTTAATATTACGAGTTCAAAATTTATGCTTTTTTAAAGATTTTTAATGAAAATGGAGGATAATAGTGTTCCTTGTGATGAATTGAAGTGTGTATCGTGTGTAAAGTGATAATCGGAGAGGAAATCTTTAAACTTTGCTGAGATAATATACAAGGTTAAGAGTGTATTTCAGACTTATCAATTATCGCATTTAAAAACAGTTATTGGTATAATTAAAACGTTCACCAACATTTTACGTCGACGTAATTAAATCTTTCCATAAGAAAGCGAGACGATTCCACTTATCTTATCTTATCTCTTATCCATTAGAATGTAAATATTTTTTTTTAATTTTGTACATAGTTTGTTTATACTTTGTTCGTGTTTTACTTTTGTTCATGTATTGTATTGGATGTAAATATTCTTTTTCTTTCGCTTAAACAAACCCAAACGGCTTTCTTCAAAGCCACCGAAGCTATGCAATTGCTGATATATAATACAATCTATCTAGCAGTGGTATGCCTTCTGTGTGCTTTGTTAAACACGTCCTTGACAGCACTGAATATGAAACTGAAGCGTGGAGACAGATCAAGATTGGTGTATTTTTATAAAACTGCTAAAAACAACAATCTATATTTTTATCAATTTATATCTTGGGCTTGCCCTAGCTTGGAGCTCTAGCTTCGCCACTGTTATATATATATATATATATATATATATATATATATATATATATATATATATATATATATATATATATATACAAGAGCCGTGGTAGCTCAGACGGTTAACGCTCGCTATAAATATAACAGAACGCGAATAACCCGGATTCGATCCCCGCCGGCACCAATGAAATTGTAAATTGCAATTTTAAGTGCTATTTACCACGTGCTCAGCGGTGAAGGAAAATATCCGTGAGGAAACCTGCATGTCTGAGAAATAAGAAAAAACATTTCGAAGACATGTGAAGTTCGCCAACACGCATTGGGGCAGCGCGGTGGACACTTCTTTGCCCTAAAACCCTCTCAGAAATGAGAGGAGGCCTGTGCCCAGCAGTAGGACGTATATAGGCCTTAACTTTAGTTTACTTTACTTTTATATAATATATAGTGTAGGTAGGTAGGTTCCATAGTCAATCACAATCATAGGATCATTGAAAATCGATTCGATCAATTACTTTTATTAGCCTTATCCGGGATTCGAGCCCTAGCCCACATAATCAGCAGTGGCACTTACAACGACGAGACCAACACACTAGACTAAATCAAACAAAATAAAAATTGTAATACATTAATATATAGATATCCAAAAAAGTGGATAAACCCCTTGGTTTACGTAACTAATGGTACAGCACTAGTTAATAATAGGAAAAAATCAAATGAACACAACCGTTAGTACAGTTCGTATAATGTAATATCAAGCACAAAATGATTCATCTCTAAGCTGTGCTACAACGGTTATGCAATAAGATCAACTTGGATAAGTATACCTGTTGATGTCAACAGGGTCGTGAAATAAATCAAAACGCTTCAATCGAAATACCAAATTGCATTAAAGGCAACGACAGCCTGGAATTTAGGGAAGACGGTATCATACGAAACATATTTGGAAACGAAACATTTCCTACCAACCACTTTAATATAACATTTTAAGTATAAATATATTTAAAAGATATCTGGTAATTCAAGTTAAATTTCAAAGGTAACGGTAAAGGTTTCAACTGTAAAACATGTAAAAATTATATATTTTACAATTAAATTATTATAATTATATATATATATATATATATATATATATATATATATATATATATATATATATATATATATAACCTTTTATAACCCTAATATAACCTTTTCCAATGTCTTAAGAATAAAGGAAGGTAGGCTTAGGTAAAGGTCTAAAGGACTTAGGTTGATGTATGTATTTTTTGAATCATAATTATCTGCTTATATTGAACAAAAAATTTCTTATTCTGATCTACTATATTAAAAAAAAATTCAAACAATAAATAAAAGCACTTGTACTTACGTAAAATAAGGTTAGAAGCGAGACCGTCGATACTAATGCAGCCATGTTGTCTGCCTAAGCGTTACGACAACACTACTCTAAGCTTCCAACCACAAGCATATACATATGAGAAGATAATTACACCTAGCTGAATGTCAATGTTCTAGTTTGATCAGACTCACGGATAACCACAAAGATTGAAAAACAAATTTAGCTAAATTTCAAGCATCTATTTTGCCAGTGCGTTTGTACCTAGTACGAGTACAGTCACGAGCTTTTCCATACGAATTCTTAGTACGTACTTATTTAATTTCCCACCATGAATTGTAACTTAAAGTAACAGCCTATATACGTCCCACTGCTGGGCACAGGCGTCCTCTCATTTCTGAGAGGGTTTAGGGCAACGAAAAGTTCGCTGCGCTGGGACAATAGTTGGAAAACTTCGAAATATTCTTATTTCTCTCAAATGCAGGTTAAATCACATTGCTTTCCTTCATCGCTGAACACGTGGTTTGTATCAGTAAGTAATCAGCACTTAAAATTGCAATTAATAATTGCACTGGTGCCGGCGGGATTCGAACCCGGGTTGCTCGCGTACTGTGAAATTTACAGAGGGCGCTTAGCCCCTGAACTGTCACAGCTCTTGTGTTGTAAATCGAAAGCAAAATCCATATCTGCCAATATTTAAAAGAGCAATAACCTCTTCAGTAAGTTATTAAATCAATTTTCGGGTCATTATTATATAACTACAATATTAGTAAATCAAATTATTAACATTTCTCTCACGATAACTATCAATGCTTGTTTTATTAAATATTAACAACCGAATACTCAACATAAGTTATTAATAAATAAATAAGAAATAATGGAGTAATGTAAGTCATAAACATTAACTCGAAATGACAAATTTTTCAGATTGCATTTTAAAATAAGGCCATATATAATTTATAGGGGCAACGCTATTGCCATAAAATATATTCTGACATTACGAAATTATTATGTCATGTCGAAAATTAAAACGGATCTAATGACACCTCAAAATTCAAAACCCCTCAAGGCTTTTCAGCTTGAGAAGGTCAAGAAGAAACTAACAAACAATCACACCCAGAATTTTAATAAAAGAGTGTACATAAGATCTACCGCAAAATCCGATTCGGGTTTGGTGACTTTACATGTTCCAGAAACATAAGAAGAAGTAGTAGAAATATTTTTTATGTTTATTTTTATAGCATTGGATGACAAACCAGCACACAGTCCACCTGATGGTAAGTGGGTGCTGTGGCCCGTAGACATCCACATTTAATCAATTAAGAATCTGTCACCCCTGAGGACTAAGATGGAATGCCTCGATTCCAGTGAAAAGAGTCTCCGGTTTTCTACACTCACCTTACGAAACACAGCAGACTTACGCTGCTGTTTTACGCTGGTACTCTGTGAGAGCGTGGACCTGCCACGCCCGAGCCGTCCCATTCGTGCTAGGTACAACTCTATCAGTAAAACATGGCGCACAGCTGCAATTTACAAGGGTTTGTTCTGTTTTTTATATTTCTATGAGTTTATCTTAACAAAGGTTTCGTCTTTTTTTTACGTGGTAGAGCCATGCTGCAGTTATATTAGTAGTATAGTTGCAGCACGAGTGGGTCGGCGTCAAATAGTAGCTTAATTCTGCTGTGTTTCGTATGGTGAGTGTAGAGATTCGGAGACCTTTTTTTACTGGAAATGAGGCAATCCACCTAAGTTCTCACGGGTGACAACGCATCTGCATTTTGATTCGTAATCTAGGATAGATGTAGATATCTGTGTGCCACAGCACCCACTTACCATCAGGTGGACTGTGTGCTGGTTTGTCACCCTATCCTATAAAAAAATGTCACTCTTAGCAGTAGACTGACGATAGTAGTACCAGACAGCTCGCTCCTTTAATGCTCTGTCGGATTTATGTATTTTATTTAACCTGCGGATATTAGAATTTTAGGATATTAAGCATTTTCAATAATCGATTCTCTTACACCGCTATCTGACAGCAACACTACTCGCCATGATAAGATATATAATTCCTTATAAAGTATCAAAAAAAATATGCTCTTAATGTGATTAGGTTAAATAACATAAGTACCTAATAGAATACATAATGTGATACCTTTGGCAAGGTTATTTCTCTTTCCCGGTACGAGGGCCTCTCTCGATAGATAAGGCGGTAGTCGAAAAGAACCGCCGTTTGCATTTTGGCAGGAACGGCTCCTACATTGATCAATCAATCAGTCAGCTTTGAAGAAATTCGAATCTAACTCGTGCGCAGATACTACTGCTAGAATAATTTCAGCCGGCAAACCATCTCACATTTCTGTCACCAACTCAAGCAGGTACATTTATTTAGTACTTTATCTGCTTTTTATGTACTACAGGTGGTTAGTGTCTTAGTCAATTCTTAATATCTTCATTATTATTATTATGCCATATCTATGCAAATGATATTTTACAACCATCAACCAAATTGAAAAATCGAAACAGGCAAATTGCTAAGTAACATTTCTGCATTAATCGATATTAGAATAATATATGTAAAAGAGACCTTCTGTTTATTATTTTAATTCTTTTGGTGACCCAGAAAGACTGAATATAATATTGGTTATTACGAGTTCGTTTTCGAATAAAATTGTTTTTTTTTATTGTTATTCATTATGTCATTACAAACATACACAAAGGACGATGCGCTGGCATGATTTTCATGTCGACAACTAGCTTTAATCGAGGTCGAATTTTTAACCGAAGCTAATGTAGGTAGTTGCAACACTTAACACTTTCACCCACTAAAACCTCAATGCCCCCTGTGGATGGATGGAGAATATGTAATATATTATTCAAGCTGAATACTAAAGTAAAACTTTACCTATTACTGTTCTATGTTTTCTAGAATTGTCAATAAATTTCTAATATAAACCTATACCGATCCAAATCGATTCGAACATAGAATCACGACTCAGTAGTTAAGAACGTGATTACAGAGTCCGTGCGATCAGTGTACTCAATGTAACCTGTGACATTTTAATATTTACGTACGCAGTAGAAAGCTTACAGAGTTGTGATTTTGTGTGAAAGTTCCTTCGCTTTGTTACAAAAATATAATAGGCATATATTATTAGTAACAGCATTACTAGTGCGAGCATACTTAGAAAAAACTATCTCCGTTTCCGTACGTGTCGTAAGAGGCTATGGGAAATACCAGAACGATCCGATGACGTGATACAGCTCATCAATTACTTTTTTTTATAGGATAATGGTGACAAACTATAGTACACAGTCCACTTGATGGTAAGTGGTTGCTGTGGCTCATAGACATCTACATCTATCCTCGATTACGAATCGAAATGCAGACGCGTTGTCACACGCGAGGACTATTGAAGATTCCAGTGGAAAGGGTCGATACGAAACACAGCAGCGTAAAGCTGCTATTTTACTCTGATATTCTGTGAGAATGTAATTTACCTCGGTCGAACCGACACAACTACACCAGTAATATAGCGGCAGCATAGGTAGCATAGGCAGCATAGCATACAACATAAAAAATCTTAAGTGTTCCTCACATATGTTTTTACATAAGTAAGCTATGCTTACGTATACTTTAAAATCTAAGTCTTATTAAGTAATTATTTTATAATTATTCTAATCTTACTAATTTTTATATCAAAATGTGAAAGTACCTATATACATTTGGTAGTTCGTCTTTCAATGGTCCTTCAACAGGTGAACGGATTCTAATTAAATTTGACGTAGTAGTCCAATATGTTGTTGTATAGGACATAAAAATGAAATATTTTTATAACAGTTGTTGATAAAGAATTTATAAGCTTTAATTAGAAATAAGAATTTATAAGCCTAGCAAAGCGGTTAGTTAGTAACTAATTTGGAAAACTATCTGCCACGAGAATAAAAAATATACTTCAGTATATTGCTGTAACTCAGGTATCTGGAATTTAAATGTCTCATGTCTGTGTTGTTACTAAAGGTTTCCTTGACTACGAATCGTCGGGGAACTAGAATAATAGAATATTACATAACATAAACTCACGCCTGGCACCCAGATGGGTAGGCAGAGATTACGCATTTCCATTTCTAACAATCCTGACTGTTAAGTCTCACCACTGCACTGTTGCTATTAAAATTTCACAGGAACTTATTATTTTTATTGATATTGTGGAACTACCTTCAGATTTCTGTACAACATTCTCTAATTGTTATCACAATAAACAATTTTTCTAAAAACTGTGCTATTAAAGGAATCGCAATAAATTAATTATTAGGACCTGGTGTTTTTATATGTCCATCTGAGACACTGACTTACAACTCTCTCTCGCCTTTTTCACATCCCTATACAAGGACATGCTCGTCGGTCGTACTCTTACCTCAGTACATCTTCAATAAATCTCCGAGTCAGTTGATACACATCCTTTGAGGGCGTCCCTGTCCGGCTCTGTCACTCACTTCTCCAGCATAAATGTGCTATGTGCCTCTTTCCGCATTCACTTTATCTACCTATCCAAACCACCGAAGCATTCTTTTCTTGATCCTGGTCCCAACTTCTTGCGAACTACAACCACATTTCTATAACATTACTTTTACTATCTCGATTCTTTTGACTACGCAAATTTCACTACCGTACCTATATTGAGGTACTAACACATCACTGTGAATTGCCATACGTGCCTATATTGACAAACTCAGAGTTTAAACAATAGAGTGAAGAGCTTCATTTATTATGTGTCTTGGCTCTTTTTTCTATATCCTTGTCTACTAGCCCTGCTAAACACTCATCCTAATATCCTATACACAAATTCGTCCAATGGCTCGACAAACTCTCCTTCCATTCTAATTTTACATATCGTTTTATATTTTTTGTTTTTAAAAAATATTACTTTCATCTTACCTGTAAATGAATACATTCCCTGTCTTTTAATCATACGCTCACTAAGGTAACTTTCAAACTTCCCAAGCAACTGTGCATAAACAGATCGAATAACAATGGGGAAGTAATGTAACTCTGTCTGACAACTTATAGATGGAAAACA